TTTGTCACCATTTGGCATTAGCCCTCTGGCTTGTTCTCAAGGAACAATCACGCTCACAGTTGATGGGAGAAGCAGCCCAGAAAACAGATCACTGTGAACTGCAATAACCTCACAGCCTTCAACCACTGCTTGGCAACTCTGCAATGTCTGCCAGTGAAAGAATTAATCAGGTAAGTGGCTGGGTAGTCACTCACTTTCCTTTGTGCTCACTTTCCTGATTTTGCTTCTCTTTTCTGAGGAGTGTCAATGCGCATGAAGTTCAGACTTCAAACCTAAGTGAATACTGAAATGATACGGGCATTGACAGCTTCTCTCTGGGGCATTTTATTCCCAGATGCTATCACGATAAGTATCTGTGGGGTTTAAAAAGATATCATCACACCAATAAAGTATTTTTCTTTTAAAATCTTATCTCTCAATAAGTAACAAAATGTAATAAAAGAAATACTTCAGTAAGTTATCAAGTTGATTTGGCCAGAGTAGGTATACGTACCTTGCCCAGTTTCTTTCCTTCACCTCTTCCAGTTTTTTATTCCAGTCTTTGTAAATACTTTCTGCCCTGATTCAGTTATTAGTAAGTTTAAAACAATCAAAATGAAGCCTGTGTTAATTAAGTTTGTATTGAGGCTTTATAGCAAAGCCTGCATCTGATTACACATGATGTATTGAAAGACTCTGGCTGCATATCTGTGTCATAATAAACCATCACTACCGATTAAGTAAACGGTGTTCTGTACAAGCTGGTTCACACACCCTGTTCAGTCCTGCCTCTAGTATATCTTACTGAGGAGGTTTGGATCGCTACCCACAATTGCTTAAATCAACCACCATGGCTTGCGGCACATGTCAGGCACCCATGGGTGCTAATTCTGGAACTCAACACCTACTTGTAGGTTTGTATTCCAGGAGAAACTGGCAAAGGTGGGTAGCTGGCCTGGTTAACTAACCACACACAACCTGTAAGCAGCATGTGGGTTCTGGATGGTGTATTAACCATACCAGCAACCCACCTCCACTGGCTTTGTACAACATGACAACCTACAAAGGGTGGCAAATTATAGAATGGGTATTCCTGGGCATCAGCCACATGTTACAAAACGTTCTGGCTTATTTCAGCCACTGCAGGTGGCACTGATCATTCAGTCCTAGCCACTCTCTCCAAAAATAGATAGTTAACATTATACTAGCTTCAGATACTGGCTCATCCAGAAGCAATCACCCTTACAGCTGATTTCAGCGGTAAGAAGAAGCCATGCTTGAATTCACTAAAATTTGTAAATTTTATTTATTATTTATTTATTAATTAAAACATTAATACATAATGTTAATTAAAACATAATTAAAAAAATACAGCCAATAAGGGATTGGGCAGCTCTTCTTCACTAAATAGGAAAAGTTGCAATGGTAGGCAATGAAGCGTTCTAGTCTTTGAAGAACTGTGGCCTCAATTTATTCCACACTTTTTTCACTACACAAATAGTGCTGTATAAATCATGAATCATTTCAGAATAAGAGGGTGTACAGGAAACAAAATCAACCTCCATACCTTCTATATATTTAAAATCTGCCCAATTTTTTCAATAAAGTATTACATAATCATTTAACAATTCTGATCATTTAGTACCTCTGCTGTTAACCAATACACTTGCTGTTTAACATTAGAATTACTAAATGACCAAGAGAAAAATTTGATCTTTTTTCCCTTTAACACAGTAGAAAGAAACCTCTAGGGCCACATTTGGTCTCAAAGAAGTAAAAAGCCAGCAAACCCACCAGCAAACCCAGCAGACCACCAAACCTCTTTCAGCCCTAGGGCCAAGGAAAGGGTGAGGTTCCTGGAGCATGGAATCCAAAAGAATCTTAAAGTCTCCCAGGTGAGGTAGAATTAGAACAACAAGATGTAAAGTAATGATGTGTTGCACAAGACCTCCTTAGAAAAAGTAACAAGTGCACAGCAGTGACAGTCAAGACTGAGACTAAGAGAAGGGCTTGGGGGTTTTTTATAGTTCCTTCCTACCCCAGTAGTAGCTTCCCTCTCATGGCAAATAGTTGTGGGAAAGGGTATTTTGGAGAGGACTAAAGCAGTGTTGGGTGTGTGTTTGAGAGAGAGAGAGAGAGAGAGAGTGCGAGCAGGCAAGTGACAGTGCAAGCACTATTCAGCTAAAATACACCAATGTCACATGAAATACCAATCATGCCGCAACAGAACAAAACTCTAATCCCTTCCTCATTGCCAGAAAGCAATTCCTAATTGCCAGGGATGACCAGGTGAATAGCTGTTTACTAGTCTCTAGTTTTGTCTTAAGATGTATATCTGTCATTATAATGGTTTCCTTGATATTCTTTCTTCATTCATTCTTCAATTAATGACTAAGCCTAGGAAACTCCTTCATTGCAACCATTATAATAGAAAGCTTGTCTGATGAATAAATTTTATGGCTGGATCCCTGGCAGCTTATTCAACACTGTTGCTAAAGATAAGTACAAGAGGAACAAATGCATTTTATTGCTAGTAGCAAGCAAATATATTTCAAATCACTGAATGATAATGTCACAAACAGATGCATAATAAGATTTTTTTATTCTTTTCCAATGTAATTGATATGATGTAACTCAGTTTTATAAATGAATGTTGCTACTTTTTCTGTCTTTAATTTACAGTGTAGCCAGCAACACTGTCAAAAACTCAGCAGACTCTTTAATGTGGCAGATAAGACAGCTTTCAAACACAACTATTCCCCATGCCATTTAGGCTTTTATAAGTTATCAACGTGTTAGGTTGCCTCCAGAGGGTGAAAACTGTTTCAATTGCTCCATCACTCCAATTAACAAGGAGGTAGTCTCACTAATGCCAGAAGGTAATATATACTGTCATGGTTCATTCTACAGGTAGAAGAACATTATTATTTGAGAGGAAGAATCTCAGTGATCTAATGGCTGTCTCATCTGAATTGCATTAAATATATGGTCTAGTAAAAGCTTTATGGTAAAGTCTTTTGCATATGTTCTCAGATGTAAAGCCTATTGCATTGAGTGTTATTCCCAGGTAAGAATGCATAGGTTTGCAGTCTAAGTTTCTCTCCACAGGCCCTACTCTTCTTTCACAACAGGGAATTCATGATTTGTAAGTTGAGTGACTTGAGAAGGAACATTTGTTTTGCTTCATAGGAGATCAATGCCTACAAGCATGTATCCATTATCAAATATCAGTGTTTAAGCTTTTTATTTTCCTTTGCACCTACTGGGGAGAAGCAAGAGGCAGTGCTTCCTAGCATTTGACAGAATTCCCTGTGGCATGATACACATGGCATGGAAAACTGCCTCTCTTTCTTTGATAAGGCGCTTCTTAGGGAAGTAAAACAGACCACACTCTAGATTCATGCAGTGACAGTAGTCCAAATAAAACATTCCTTTGTCAATCAAATTTACTTCTTGGTGAAGCCATAGAAGCAGGCAGATCTGTCCTAGAGTTTTCTACTGAAAAGATCATCACTCATTGAATTATCATCTTCTTCCATGTTTACATATCAAGATCGGCATTGGAATTTCCTCTTGCCAAGGTACAAGAAAGGATACTGAGTCTTTAAAAAACAAATATCATGCTGAAAGCCTTCCCACTGAGGAACTGCAAGACTAACAGGGGTGAGTACATAACTATAAAACATACATAACTTAAGTATGTCACTAAAAATGTACTTATATGCTTAAGGTTTATTTGACTTGGGCTCATGAATCAGCAGTTAAAAGCCTTTGTTGAACAAGTCAATTTGAGGAGTGTGCTGAAGAAAAAGAGGGTCTCAGAGGCTTTGCTTTCTTCTTTTGGCAAGGCAGGCAAATTGAAGGTGGAAATGGCAACATTTTTTTAAAAATCACAATACGATTATAAGAAAGAGAATATGTAAGCTGTTTCTTCTGACCACTTTGTAGATAATTGCAAGTTAAGGGAGCTGGTAGAGAGTAGCAGACACAGACCAGATAGACCTGCATTCATTTTGCCACCTAGCCATGAATCCTGTTTGGTGATTATTGCTTGCACTCGCCTGCCTCAGAAGCTTGTTGGGGAGATCAAATGTAAAGGGAAATATATTGCGCAGAGTTCTGGAGGAAGGGCAGAGTAAATGAGCAATAAAAATTTTGCCCTTAAGGTGTGACAAGCCTCTTCGCTGTTGCTTTTAGAAAATAACAGCATATTATAACCTTACAAAAATAGCATATAAAGTCTATTCATCCTGTAACTCAAGAATCGTTTGTCCTCAATGTCATGGGTCTTCTGTTAGGATCCAGGTAAACAACTCAGACAGAACACAAGATGAAACTTCTAAAAGAAGGCAACTCATCATCATTTTTATCAATTATAAGTGCGAATAGTGTGCCAGATGTACCCATAATGTACATAGACTAAGAAAGTGCAGCCAATCCCAAGGGCTTCCCCAGATGTGTACGTGAACATATACATCATCTTCCCTGAACCTGTGTTAATCTTAATATTTTGACCTGGAAGCAAACCCTGTTAACCTCAGTAATATGGGATTTATTTCTGAGTTAACATCTCAAGGAATGGGCTACTGGACACACTGCCATGTAGAAAGTTTAGCCCTATAGCTCCCTCTTCTGTCTGATTCATTTCAAACTGCATACAGTCTTCTTCTGCTTCATCCATAGGCAATGTTTTGGTGAACTAATTACTACTTACATTGTTGAACTGACTTCAAAAATACAATTTTAACATGTCACCTAGAATTCCCTTTTAATTCCCATCGAACAAAATGTAGGCCTGTACATATCTCAGATAAATCTATTTCTCCCCTCCATTTTGTATTCTAGATTCGGAAAGCCTACTGGGCTCATTTACTTACCCTTTGAAAACATTAATAGCTAATTTGTTTTAAGAAGGAAAAGTTGAGTGAGGGCATGGTTTGAAACCTAAAGTGAAAGCTTCAAAGTTACAATGGTGTAGTTATGCTGTGAAGCATAACTTCTGTGGTTCTTAGGATACATACCAAACACTTCATTGTCTTCTGATGGTTCTTGGGTTAGCCGGGCTGCTTTGGAGTTTGGTTTAACCTCAGTTTCCTCTGCTGTGGCTTCAGTATTCTGCAATGATACATTGCATTATGGTTAAGAAAGCATCTGCAGAAAGATTTGCTCAAATATATCACCTTAGGCAGCAATCACTTTTGATTTCTGCAAAATAAGAAAAACGATTTCAGGGTTCAAGCTGCTTGGAACTGTGACACTTAATTCCAGGTGTGTGGAAGAAGAAAATGCACTCCAGTGAGAAGAAAATGTACTATGTACATACTCATAGAGCTGTTTTGCACATGCCAAGAAGCTACCATATGTGATTTTTCCTGTGGAGTTTCTTGCTGCAGCAACTCCTGCCTTTTAAATATTTGAGCTGAAGCACAGATGCACTGAAGTTTCTCACTGCACATGGGTCAATGAAGGTGGGTTGCTGAGGTGCCTAATGAGCCACACAAAACCATAAAGTAGTCAACCACCCAACAACACACCCTAGTGGAGTTTACATGTAATGACTACGGTGTGTCCTGCTGCAGTTTCAAAATGGCAGCTGTCACCACAATGAAAAGCCCCACAAGAATAATTTGCCTATGGTGGATTCTCTTTATGTGACAACCAGGTTGTAGATACCACCTATGCTATTTGTATGTGCTGGTGAGAACACTGGCAATGAAAATAGATCTGATTTTAAGGATGTAACAGAAAAGTCCCACTGATCAAACAAATGCTCTCACTACACATTAAATGAAATGCCAAAGGCACTTCCTAGGGCCAGTGTGGCCCAAGAAGGAGCATGCTGGCCACACCATGATGGCACTGCCTTGCCTGCTCTCCGACCGAACAATTTCAGTGCAAGCCATCTCTGTGAATGGATCCCATGAAGGGGCTTGATAAACCCAAGCAGGATTGTGCCTGCTTAGGGCATGGACCAGCAGGAACATCTGGTGTGCACACACAGAGCCACACTGCTCTGAACGGGCATAAAGAGACCTGTTCTACCTCCACGTGGTCAGAAAAACTGTCCCTCCACTTCTCTCTTACACTGGGGCAATAAAGCTCACAGGGCTGGGCATGCTTATCGTGGCTGAGGACCATCTCTTCCTCAAGGCTACCTGGTTTCCCCTGCAACCCACAATGAGTAAATGTGCTTGCTTATTTATTTATACATGTATTTATAGGCTGGCTATAACTGCCGAGGCCTTCCTAGGTGGCTTCTCAAGGAATGCATTTCTTGCTAAGTTTATAAGGGCAAGTTACAATAACATTAAAGTGGAAAGCAGAAGACTGTCCAGCTACCAAAGATGAGGAAAACAAGCTAGATGAATATGCAACAATGGCAAAATTAACTAATTACATAGATAGGAGACCTGTCCAAAAAAATTAATGAAACATGCAAAGCTTATTATGAGCAATTTAAGTGATATTTAAGAACTTCTAAAAATACTATTACTTGTATTTCATGCTAAAGTTATGACATGATTTACAATTGTTTTGATAAATTAGATAAACTGCTGTTGAACCTTAAGTGAGAATTGATTGATTTAACTGTGGCTAGAGGAGATAGAAATTTTCTCATGAACAGGTTAGATGTTGAAATTATATGCTATATTTCTTCAATAGCCCTTGGCATCCTTTTTTCTTTCATGTGCCTGTCTGCCTGCCTGTCTGTCTATCTATCTATATTGTTTCTTTTCTTATTTGTATCTTATTTCCTCTTTAATGAAAATACAAACACACACATGCCCACACGTGCACAAGGAAGTTTATAAGCACCAATTATTATCATTTATTAAAATCAAGGAGAATAGTACTCTTTATATGTGTTCAATTCTAAAATTGGATCGCATACAGATTCTATCCCATGCCACATAGATCAATATGCAAGGACCACTTACAGCTCATCCTTTCATTAAAAAAAATGATTATGTCTTTTCTTCGTGGTTTGGAAAGAGATGGACTTAACCATATGGCATTTCCTGTGTGCTACAGGAGAAGCTGGTGGCCCAGGCAGTCATCCTAAATACTAAGCCTCTGGGGAGCAGAATGCCTGGAATGGAGGCGCATGGGCTTTTTGTCCCCAGACTCTGCATGCTGCTATACAGTAGGCCACACACAACCTATGATAAGCCCCACCATGAGCCATGCTGTCATCCTACACTGAGCAGCCAATGGAAGTCCGAGTTCAGTTCAAGTTCTTTTGCCTCCATCGTATTGGCATGTGGGTCTCTCCTACTGTGTCCTTCCTGACCAGTAAACATTTCCTCATACTTTGAGCTGAGGGTTAAATCAGGAAAAGTTCAAGGTGTTAATTCCAAAGCACATTTCAATAATTGCCATATATTCATCTGCTCTGATGTAAAATTCACACAGAGCAGCTCAGTTCAAGCTGCCCTTCTGCTGAAGTAAATGGGAAGAACTTGCTGATGTACAGCACTCGCTCCCTCTCTCATTCTCATTCTCTCGCTGTCTGGTGGGGAACAGATGCTGTGAACTCTTTATCCCACAGAGAAGGAATTGAAAACCTAACTCCAATCCAGCTGTTCAATTTTCTTTCCCACTGTCCTAAAGTGCCCTCTAATCCATTACGCATACTTTAATAGAAAGAGCAAAGAAAGAATATTCTCTTTTGAATTCTGTCAGAGGGCTGCAGAGATTCACACAAAATGACATTTTATTGTCACTCAATAAATCTTATCATTATGGGTTTATACGCCCACTGAATTTTAATTAACAGTGTTTTCATCCATTACAAATGAAACCACACACATACACATTCCATATTCAATGGAAGAATATGAATTCTTCATATTTTAGAGCCAGGGTGCTGTAGTGGATAAGAGACTACGGGACTCAGGCGATCTGGGTTCTAGTTCCTGCTAGGTATCAGAATTGGCCAATGCTACGAATTAGAGGTGCTTTATGATGCTCTAGGATGTTCTGTGCATGATGTTCTATGCATTCTTCACCAGAATGTAAAGTTGAGAAACATGGGAGACAAAGCAGAGGACAGGCAGTTCTTGCTGCAATGTCCCCTAGTGCTACCATTCATTTATTTGCCAGACCAAGTATTTGCTAGACTTATGGCTGAGTCACACAGGAAGATTGATAACTAGTATGTGAAGCCTGGACCAAACAGATAGACTTTTTTGTAGCAACCATACTGACGGTTGGTTCCACTTCAATCAGCCCTGGAGCAGGGGAACAAAAATCTGAATATGTTCTGCATTTGTTAAATTAAGCTGGCATGCATATTAACATAAGCTGATTTTAGGAGAATGTGTTGTTTTCAAAGACAAATTACAAACTTGGTTAGAAACTCTCTGGAAGTGGCTGTACAGTGCTAGTCTCTTCCGCATAAGCCCATAACAAAAGCCATTGTTCTTGGAATAAATCAAAGCCTCCTTGAGTACTTTCTGCCCTGTGTCCTCTTGAGCTATGGAAAGTCCTGCACAAGAAAGAGTCATTCTCAGCACGTCTCAGATGTTCTAGTGCTCTCTTGTGCTGATTTCAGGACCTGCACTTTTTCAAGTGTAAAATATCTGTGAAATGTAACACTTCAAAAACACTTGTTATCAAACTGAAGGATGGGGAAATAATGTTGAGTGCCAAAGATTAATCATAACAGAAATTATTTATCATTTTTTGTTTCAAACAGCCTTTTTGCATTAACTAAAATTTCTCTATCCTCTAGAAAGAATATACTTCTATCAAAGACATCTGGCTTAGAAACACACAGTGTTAACTAATGTCTCATCGAAGTAGGGTAGCAACAGTGGCATAATGCTGGGAAATAGCATGATTCGTAAATTAAACCAAGAGAATAACCATGGGTTAATTACCCTTGCTTTACTCATTTATCAAGGTGGTAAGATAACTGAGCCACATCCTGACCCCGGTCCTTTCTCCATATCTTTGCTTGGCATGTATACAGCTCTAGCTAAAACTACTGAGCTGATCAAGATATGCATGATGGTCTGATGTTCTTGCAAGCAGTGTGTGAAACAAATTTATTTATTTAGGATATTTATATGCCGTCCTATCACGAAAGCCTCAGGACTGCTTACAAATCCCCTAATTACATGGAATCAGATCCAGCTTGGTTGTTGCACCTGTGGAACACATACTCTGGGCAAAATATGGCCTTCCATTCCCTCTCTCCGCCTGCAGCCCCCTGCATGACCTCCAAGCCTGCCCTGAGAGATTTAGGTAGTTTGGAGACTACATCAGGGGACAGATGTCCCATTCTGTTTAGTGATATCCATTCAGTGAGAATCATAGACTCATACAGTTGGAAAGGGTCCAACTCTTTGCTCAAGGGAGGACTCAGGTTTCCTGTCCACATTCTAATCAGGACTGATCCTCCTCCGCTTTCAAGTTTAGGCAGGATCGGACACTTCAGGCTATATGGAAGCGGATAAAAGAGGGCCCTACACTTTGCTTACATATTTCTGTCTTGATATTATTGCAGCCTTCAAGCAGTTAGAACAGAGATGGATGGCATTTTTGAATCATGGGAACTGCCACAAAACAGCAAAAGAGTGCAAGGTAGAGGTGGGCTCTGGGTCCCAACACATTAAATAACTAATCAGAAGTTATCATTTTTGGCACCAACAGAAACCGGTTTCATAGCAATTCCATCTTTTTTTTTTAAAGTGGGAAGACTAGAGTACTTTGCTGGACACCAAGAAATGTGTCGATAAGAATATTGCTGCCAATTGTTGCCTATTCCCGAATTAATATTAGAAAGTGTGAATGTGAAGTAAAAGTTTTACTATACCCCCCCCCGCAAATAAAAGTTATTTTTTCTAAAAGTAAGACTATTTTACTTCAGCAGTAAATTTTGAATTCTATCCTATCATTGCTTTATGGTGAGAGTGGGCATTTTCTGGACTTCTAGATGTTATGACCTACAGCTTCCATCAGCTCTAACTAGTAATACTGGAACTTGAAACATTCAAAAATCATCAGTTGCCTACCCCTGCCCTAAAGCTACAAACTTGTGCATTCCAGAATGTTAGAAATGGAGCAAGATGTAAATATCTTCCAGGAGTCTCTTGTAGATTTATATTTTT